TCTCTTTTTGCTCAGTTTTGGATTTTATGCTCATATATAGTTGCTCCATTTTATCAACTTTGCTCTCGAGTGCCTCAATTACGCTTTAATCTGATCCAGACGCGCTGCTAGTAGCACATCATGTCGTTCCTGATCATCCTCTGAATAGTCGATTTTTTGTCCGTAACCTTCATACGTTTTGAAAAGGTCTGCCAGACTGGAGGAAGTGGATGGATCGCTTTTTTGTGGAAGTAGAGAGACATGATTGCTTACAAGGCTCTTTATAAAATTTTTAAAATTGCTGTTAAGTTTGATGAAGGGCAAACGAGAGTTTGCACTTAGGGCTTACTGAGCCCCAAGGATAGGTAGACTAACACTAAAATGCGGCTTTAGTCTAGCCGATGTACCAAAAATGTGATGACTTTAGGCTTATGGTATAGCCTGGGTGCTCGGGTGTACGGTATGACCCTTCTGAGCGATAAACAAGGTGGTTAAAATTTATAGGCACACAGATTAGCATGTTGCTAGTCTTGTAACAAAACTGAGGAGTGAGGCTAATCGCCCCGCCTCCGATCCTTACAGCGAGGTTGCCAACGGCAGGGATTCTGGCAATAGTCAGAACAAGATATATGTGTATGTGTAGGTTTATGGTATGTTTATGTATGTATGTATGTGCGAATATGTGTATGTATGTGTATGTGTGTGTTTGCGTGTTATGTGCATGTATCTGTATGTGTGTATATGGTATGTGTGTGTACGTGTGTATGTATGTGTATGTGTGTGGATATGTGTGCGTATGTGTGATGTATGTGTGTGTATGTGTGTATATGTGTATGTGTGTGTATGCGTATGTGTATGTGTACATGTGTGTATGTGTGTGTGTGGATGTGTGCAGATGTGTATATGTGCGTGTATGTGTGTGTACGTGTGCATGTGTGTATGTGTGGTTATGGTGTGTATGTGTGTATGTGTGTGTATGTGTAAGTGTGTGTGATGTGTGTATGTGTATAAGTGTGTATGCGTGTATGTGTACATGTATATGCCCGCATGTATATGTATGTGAGTGCGAGGTGTGTGTATGTATGTGTGTATATGTGTGTATGTGTGTTTGTAATGTGTGTGTGTGTGTGTGTGAAATTTGGTTCGGATGGTCACAAATTTTGTCCATCTTTGCTCGGTTTTATAGGAGTCAAGTGAGCAACATCAATGTCCATTACTTGATCAAAAAAATGATAATGTACTATACAACCCGAGAGGGGAAGCGGAAGTGCAGAAAGCCACGAGCGTATTTCGAGGTTCCTTTCCTTCTTTTCTTCCCTCCTTAGTCAAGTGTGTGAGCCTGCTAACAAGCAAATATAGTAAATAATCAGATGACTGCTTTAAAGACAATGTGCCTCTGCAGAAACAAATATGTGAATAATTCATTCGATAAATTTATGCGCCTAAGGCCCCGCTCGATTAGAATGGATCATGCAAGGTTTGGATCATATAAAAAGGCAGAGCAAGTGCTTACTGACACAATTTTAGCTGGCATATCCCCGGCGCTGGTTAACGGAGACCAACAATTTCCGAAAAAGGCTCGCCAATAAATAGTGGTACGAGCTTTAGCGGCTTTCTAAGCCTAATCAAAAGGGGCTGCTCATGGTCAAGAAAGGAACGCGAGAGGAGCGAAAGTGACGAAGCGAGTGTATTTTGTTGTGTATCTCCCTCATCTCTCATCGAACAAGCGCGAAATGTAGCCTATGTTACTTACCCTTCCTTTTAAGTGTAGGTAAGCAGTGTTTTTTTCTCTTCTTTAACATTTTTCGTATTGGAACATACATACATACACACAGACAGCTTTACGTAATACTTACTTACTTATTAGATACTGAAATGTCTTGTCTTCACTCGAGTGCAGGCTAAAGCACTGTTTCGTTTTCTCTCGCTAGCGTCATCCACATGTCTATTAAATTGCGACGGCGACATTCGCGACTTTCAGATCTATTACTCGTCATCAGCTGAGATCGTAGGATCCATCCGTGCAATGATCACGTCAGCCCATCTGGTCAGTGGCCTCCCTCGAGGTTTACTTCGCGAGGGATCCATATCAGCGTTCGTGTCCATCTGTCTTCTGTCCTTCTCATTATATGATCAGCCCATCGATGTTTTGCCTTGGAGACGTATTTCGCTGGATCGAAAAGACGAGACATTTATCTCTCTGAACTGCGAACCAGATGTTGAGTGCATCAGTTTTACTTCAGAAGACGTCGTTCCAGCGCTTTGTGGGTTGTTGGAAGAGCCTTCGACGTAGCCACATGTCAGGCCACGTCTCTGCTGCGTAATAAAGCGCAGGGAGAACAGTTGAATTTGAACAGGTGGGCGCGGAGCTCTGGGTCCGTCAGCTGATCTGTGGCTTCCCTCAGGGAACCGAAGGCGGCCCAAGCTGCTCTTTGCCTTCCGTTTAGTTCTATTTTCAAATCGTTCTCCATTTTATCGAACGCCCGAGATTTATGTAAGAAGACGTCTCCGCGATTGGAGAGTCTTCTAGTTCCTTTTCCTGATCCTCGCAAAAAGCGTTCTTCATGTACTAAGTTTTCCCCGGTTAAAATCGCAGTCCTATCCGCGTCCCTAATTCGTTTAGTTCTTTCAACATCGTTTCCGCTCCAGTAATATTCCTCGAGAAGAGAACAATGTCGTCGGCAAAGCGAACGTTTGAGAGGAATCATTCATAACTCGCATACCTCTCTCGTTCCAATCCAATAACAGCTATTGCGACACGATGCCTCCTTGTCAAACCTTTTGAAATTGGTTTGTAAAGCGGGCGATGGAAAATGTTCGTTGTAGAGCAATTCTTGTAGATCTCCGTCAATGTCCTCAAGTAAGATATATCCACCCATTGGAGACGAGCCTGACAGTATGGCATTAGTCTCGACGCCGTCAAACGCTTTCTCATAGTCGACGAAGGTTAGGACGAGAGATAGGCGGTACTCTCGGCAAACCTCCTTAATCCTCGGAACCGTCTGAATGGATGCATACAGCTGAATCTCTTAAATCTAGCTTGTTCTACATGTTGGACTTCATTTAGTGTCCATGACATGTGAGTGAGAATAATTTCTGTGAAAAGCTTGTAAAGCACGCTTAGCAGGCATATTGGACGGGTTCTGAAGATCCTCCCTATCACCCTTTTTATTAAAAAGGATTGTTCGGGAGGTTCTCCGCTAGTCGGGGATCCTTTCCTTTTGAAGGTAAGACGTTAGGTGTGCCGCAATTATTTCGTGCAGGCGATATCCTCCAGCTCAGAGGTCGGCCGATACATGGTCCGCTCCTAAAGCCGTGGCTGCCTTCATGGTCTGGATTGCGGCGCGTACTTCAGCAGATAGGTGGTTATTCCTCCAGAGGGGATAACGGGTTTGATACGGGAGTTGATGAGCGAAAGAGATTGGCGTAGAATCGCTTCGTGGTCGATTCCATCTCCTGCCAGGAAGGTGTGCGAATCTGTCTTTTTTTATTGATGTGCGGAGCACGGTACTCAAGAAGGTCCCTGCGCTACTTCTTCAGACTCGTCTTTCCTTGTGCTACTTCCAAAAGTTTCGATTTCCTGTACCTTCGAAAATCTTGCAATTCTGCAACTGATATTGACTACCAGTCGCTCGAGATGTGATACAGTTGGATCCAGCCTCAGTGCTCTTTTCCTCTCTAGCAGATCCTTGGTGGCTTTCAAAATTCGTTCCAAGTTCCTTGTGCTAGGCATTGAGCACTTTCAT